TTCACTAAAAATTTGATTTTCACCAAAAATTAGAATTTCACTAAAATTTGAATTTCACCGAAAATTCAAATTTTCACCAAAATTTAAAACTTTAGCAAAAACACAAGATTTTACCAAAAATTAAAATTCAAACTTTTCAAAAAATCGATTTTTTAAATCCTATTTCGTACTAAAACATAAAAGTTTTACAAAAAAACGACATTTCGCCAAAAATTTGATTTAACACTAAAAATTCTATTTGACACTGAAAATCCGACTTTTCACTAAATTTCCGATTTTTCACTAAAAAATTAGATTGGCACCAAAAATTCGATTTTCACTAAAAATTCAAATTTCGCCAAAAATTTAAATTTTCACGAAAATATTTATGTCTGAAAATCTTTGACTTTCGCCAAATATCGAAAAAAAAAACATTTACGTATTAATAATTAAAAAAAATCTATAATATTTTCTTCACAGGTGCCGTTCAAGGTATGGTCACTGGCATGCGTGGACTATGTAATGGCTTAGGACCGGCTATGTTTGGTGTTATATTTTATTTATTCAACGTTGATTTGAATAATGAAAAATCACTACAAGAGAATGTCGACAATGATAACTGGTTTCAATTTCCGGGACCGCCATTTGTCTTCGGTGGTTTTATGGTCATACTTGCCATACTCGTAGCACTGTTTATACCAGAGGTACATGGTGATATGAATTTTATACGTACTCCCAATGAGAAAAAACGTAAGTTAATGGAAATTAAATAAATTATAAATATTAATTGAATTTATTTTTTTTTTTCTACCCGGCAAAGGGGCTTCAGTAGATGTACAATATGAAGTGGAAGGTGGTATAAAACCAACAAGCCCTTTAATGCGTTCAGATTCATTGGCGCAGCTGTAGTATTGTTACCTAATAATAAGAAAATTATTGTGTTAAATTGTAAGCTTAAACAAAAACAAAAAAACAAAGAAAACAAACCAACCAACACACACAAAAGAGAAAATAACTAGAATGCTTTTTATATAAAAAAAAATCAAATAATGTTTTAACATGAAAAAAAATATGGTTCTTATTATCAACAATCTTTATTATTTTCAATCCTGCCATTTATAGTTACAATAATTCTTATTTATAAATTACTGCATTTGCTAAAAGAGGTATATAACTCAAAAAGAGGTTTTATTTTTCGTTTGGCTAAATAGTTATCTAATTAAATATTTAAAAAAATTCTTAAAATCATAGTAAAGTTATATTATGGGAAATCGTTTTTGCGTTATATTCCTTGTTTTGGCAAATGAAGGCTATGAGAATGCGCAAAAGTGAAAGGCAATAATATATTTTTGATTAAAAGACTCTTTTTTTAATGACAAAATTTAATTTAACTGATTTATTTATTATTATTTATTTAAATGTTTAATTTAACAATTTATATTTGAAGCTTTTGTTTGTTTTTTTTTGTAATGAAAGTAATACATACATAATAATTTGAATTTACAAACTTCTTTGTTGTGGTTATCATTCATTACATCTTAACAGCTTTGCTGCTTCAGATTTTAAACTGCTGTGTCCTTAAAAAAAAGCTTTGCATATAGAAACTAACATATCGTTATCTAAAATTGAAAAGTCTTGCAACTAATAATTCAATATTTTTACAGAAACAAGTAAAGTAATTGTTCGGCTGTGCCGAATCTTTTAAACAATTCTTTAAATGTTTATTTTTGGAGCAACATATTTCTTGGGTTCATTTTTTTCTTTACATATTTTGCTTAATTATTGAAATGTTAGTTGTTCTTTTTTTGTGTGTTTTAGATAGAGAGATATTACTGTTAGGTTAACAGTTTATTTAGAAAACTTTCAAACCCAGTTTTTGTCTATTAAGTCCTTTTATACTTTAATTTTGTGTGATTTTCCAATATATTTACATTTCACAAATCTTTATAAATAATTGCCACAATCGGAATCAGCCTATTAGATTTTAGTTTACAATATGTAACCAATACATACATATATTCTAATATCGATTTTATTTTGCTGTACAGCTTTAAAGAAAAGAACAGTTTCTGGCTTTTGAAAACCAAATACTTTGTAATAAGAAAGTGTTTCTTTATGATACTTTTTAACATATAAATCTAAACATCGATTTGGTTTAAATTTAAGACTTTCAAATATTTATATTTTTTTAAATTTGTAAAAAGAACTACTTTAATATAATGATGCAACATCACATACATACAAAATACTTGCCATTTGTTTATTTAAAACAAAATTGAGTCTTGTTTTATTTCCTTCTCTTTTCTCCCCTACTTTCTTTTAATCTTTCATTTATTTATAACTAAATGTTACTAATACATACATACATATGTTATTTTCCTAAAAAAAAAAAATATAATAATTTAGACAATAAGCTAATTTGTAATTGTACATACATTTGATATATGAGCGAATTAACAATCTGGGCGAATAAAGTTGTTCAGAGAATCTTAAACCATGTAAAATGTAGAAATTGAATGCTTATAATTCTTGTTTCTTTATAAATTTATTAGTTTGTAAACATACACACACCCACACAAACACAAATTACACATATATAATATATAAAATTATATAATTAATTAATAAACTAGTTATAGCAACTGTTATGAACTGTTAAAGAAAACAAAAACAAAAGTAAAGAAGAAACAAAATATCCAATTATTTTTATCAAAACGCATAATCTTCGAAAATTGTGTCCAAAACGGTTGGCATTCACATACTACATACATACATATGTAAGAATGTAAGTTTATCAAACTGTGATGATATGTTAGAAATGGTAACTAATAATGAATGGTGATGATGATTTTTTTTTGTTTTTTGGTTTGTTCTTATTTTATTTATTACGGAATGATTATCAAGATATATATATATCTAACTACATATATTTTTGTGAATTGTTTTTGTATTAATTCGAATGATAATAAATGTGTAAATAATCTTATAGTCTGTCAATCGTTTGGATGTCAATTATCAAATAATATACATACCTTTCTTTATATACATACATACAAACATACAAATGATAAGTTTTTTAAAAAAAAAATAATATGTAACAATATGTAGAGTATTTTGTATTTGTTTTGTTTTTGTCAAAACTAAGCTCATCTAACTAATAACAAATCCAATTCGTAGTCCTTCAGTAATATTTATTTGTATTTGTCTTATGTTGGTGCTAAATCAATTATTTATTAATTACTTTAATTTATAATACTTGGACAAGTTTTTAATTGATTACGGGTATATGCTTATAAGCCGATTTGATATCAATAATATCTTTCAAGATTTGGTTAGCAATTTTTATTTAATTAGAAGATCCCTGTTTACATTCCAACATACGTTGGCTATCTATAATTCTGTATACATTTCTCTATAAATAAATTTAAGTTATGAAATTCTAAAAAATATTATTTGTTAAAAGAAATTTAATTTATAAAATTACATTAAAAACAAAATACACATAAAATTTCCTGTTTTCGCAAAAAAAAAAAATGATTTTATTTTTTTTTATTTAGCATAACATTTTTAGTGTAAAACAGGCATGGAAAATTGCAATTTTAAAATACTGCTGACTTATAACAAAAAGAGTACATCTTTTTAGGTTATAAAACACTAAACTAATTTTCCGTTAGACTATAGAACATACTTTAGACTAGACTGTAGACTAGACTATAGACCAGACCTTAAACTAGACTATTGATTAGACTATAGACTAGACCTTAAACTAGACTATAGATTAGACTATACTAGACTATAGACTAGACTAGACTAGACTATAGAGACTATAGACTAGACTATAGACTAGACTATAGACTAGACTATAGACTAGACTATAGACTAGACTATAGACTAGACTATAGACTAGACTATAGACTAGACTATAGACTAGACTATAGACTAGATATAGACTAGACTATAGACTAGACTATAGACTAGACTATAGACTAGACTATAGACTAGACTATAGACTAGACTATAGACTAGACTATAGACTAGATATAGACTAGACTATAGACTAGACTATAGACTAGACTATAGACTAGACTATAGACTAGACTATAGACTAGACTATAGACTAGACTATAGATTAGACTATAGACTAGACTATAGACTAGACTATAGACTAGACTATAGACTAGACTATAGACTAGACTATAGACTAGACTATAGACTAGACTATAGACTAGACTATAGACTAGACTATAGACTAGACTATAGACTAGACTATAGACTAGACTATAGACTAGACTATAGACTAGACTATAGACTAGACTATAGACTAGACTATAGACTAGACTATAGACTAGACTATAGACTAGACTATAGACTAGACTATAGACTAGACTATAGACTAGACTATAGACTAGACTATAGACTAGACTATAGACTAGACTATAGACTAGACTATAGACTAGACTATAGACTAGACTATAGACTAGACTATAGACTAGACTATAGACTAGACTATAGACTAGACTATAGACTAGACTATAGACTAGACTATAGACTAGACTATAGACTAGACTATAGACTAGACTATAGACTAGACTATAGAATAGACTATAGACTAGACTATAGACTAGACTATAGACTAGACTATAGACTAGACTATAGACTAGACTATAGACTAGACTATAGACTAGACTATAGAATAGACTATAGACTAAACTATAGACTAGACTATAGACTAGACTATAGACTAGACTATAGACTAGACTATAGACTAGACTATAGACTAGACTATAGACTAGACTATAGACTAGATTATAGACTAGACTATAGACTAGACCTTAAACTAGACTATAGATTAGACTAAACTGTAGACTAATGGTCTATTCACTAATATGCGAACTATTTATCAAAAGTTTGAAAAAGTACCGAAAATGTCGTTGGGTAAGCCGCGTTATTTTTCGATATCAAAAAGTACTGAAAATAATATTAAAGTACTGAATTTTCCATGTCTGGTATAAAATATATAAAAGATCTAGTTTTTGTTAAACGATTAGTGAAATTCTTAAATTGTCATTATCGCGTTTTACAAACTGAAGTTTATATCTCATGACCAAAAATCTATTATTAACATAGGAGTTTTAAAAAATTAACGAATAAAATTTTGTTAATTTACTCGCTTGGCTTAACCTATTTATCATCTCGTAACTATTAATTAAAATAAAACTTCTGTATAACTTATCATAGTTGGCAGTCTAATCTCAAACAGTAGTTAGTTGTTTATCAGTTACGAGTTGGTTCTTTTTAAATTGTTATAGATTTATTTCCTTTAATTGCTTTTACTTTATTTTAAATAGGTTTTGTATGATCTATTGAAGCTAATGTTAATCTGCAGTAGCATGTATTTTAGTTAATAAAATGCATAAATTTTTGTATAAACACAACAATAATTTTAAGTATAACTTTACACAATAAAATTATAATTGCTAAGAAATTAAATAAAATAAAAAAAGTTTAATTTCGTTTAAAGCTTTTTTTGCATTTTTTCGTTTTTTAGTAACTGGCGTCTGTGTTGCAGATCGAAAGTAATTAGATTTGGTGTACTTTTTGATGATGAAATATCCGCTATTTGCTAAAATATCATCCTTGATAACTTTCAGATGACATAACAAAATTTAAAATATAAAACTAACTGTTATAACCGGATGCACTATTACATCATGGTTATGACGATGTTAAGTGGTTATAACATTCCGTACCTATATGGCAGAAAACGAGAATTTTTTTCAAACTTGTTTAAACGAATTACGAATTAAGTAATTCAAGTTGCCATGAGAACATGGTATAAGACATCTTGTAAACCTGATGTGATAGAGAATTTCTGAGGTCAGATTCGAAATAAACGAAATGAAGAATACATACAATGGGAAAAAATGTTTTGAAGATTTGAGAGTAAGTATAGTGAAGAGTAGAAGAAGAAAGTAAGAGGGATTATATATATGTCCTCATGACATTTGAAATATTGGAAAATAAAGCAATTAATAAATTCCAAATCGAAAATGGCCAAATGTTGACAGGTGATATGTAGGAGACATCAAATGTTCATCTGAACCCCAATTTTTTAGTTTTGGATCATTGCAGATTTGTTCTCATAATGAGATACGGAAACTAAAAGGACAATATCTTTGATTGCATAAAATACCCATGGAACAGCTTTTTAAGGGATCAAGTAATGCTCCGGAAGACTTCTATGACTCCCAGATGTTCTTTTGCTATAAAAAGCATAGATACACTGTGAATTATTATGTTAAAAATTAATTTAAAAACTGTTTATGAAGAAATTTCTTTAGTTTTTGCCAATTCAAATCTAGTATGAATTTCTTTCTGTGTATTTAAATGATATTTCACGAAAATAAAAACAAATTTGGGAAATTTTCTTATTATTAAAAAAAACAATTTTAAATATTTTCAACGTGGAGAATAGACGTTTCCACATAAATATAACATCAGTTGCTTTAGTTTCGGCCACTAGTGTAGATACGTTCATTTAATGAACTTCATTATTTTAAAGTTAATTAAAAATCTGTAACGATTAGATCAAATCTATAAAGCCAAATTTTAAATTTATGTAAGTGAATTTATCTGTTAGCAGTATTACTTTTTAATTTTATATTTAATATAACGGTTCTAATAATTGACCGTTTATCGTTTTTTACATTTAAAAATCTTTTCAGAAAATTTGTATTTTAATATGTTCATAACTACATTTTTATAAATAAAACGGTGGCATCACTAAAAACACAATGAACCAGCAGTGATGGGATTTGTGGTACAATTAGTTCAGGGTAATTTATTTATGTACCAGAATTCCATCACTGCTTTGTTTTGTTTATTTGTATCAGACTTGCCATATTTATGACAGTATACATATATAGAGCTTGAAAGGCTATTGAAAATTAATTATATATTTTCTTTCTATAATCTGTGAGATTCCAAGTAATATTCTTAAGGAATGTAAACATATATAGGATTTTGCTGCCAAAATGTGAACAAAAATTAATTAAAAAAAATTATAAGCAAAAATCTTCTGGCAACCTTTGTTTAGTCTCAATTTTGTTTCGTGTTTTTTTTTGTGTTCAATTGTATTCAGTTCATTTTGTTCATTCGTTGGAAAAGGTTGTCAACTCGGTTAAACGCTGCGGTTGGATGCAGGTCTTTCTGCATTTGAAGTGTGTATGTGTTGTGTGTGTGTTGGTTTCTCCAGGAAAAAGCAAAAAATAACATAAATTTCTATAAGATTTTTGGAAAAAAGTGATTAATTTATGAAATTGATTAATTAAAAAGCAAAGAAAGAAAAATTAAAAGAGAATTTCAACATTGTAATAGAATATAGTGGATATAATTTCCATAGAGAAATATAAATAAATGGTGTGTATACAAAATGTGTGTGTATATTTTACAAAAAAAGTTAATTTAATAAATCCTGTTTGTAGTAAAAGTAAACTTAAAAATCATGAATTAATGCTTGATCTAGTTATAACCAAAAAGAAAAACGAATAAATTAAGTACACATTCATTCACTATTAATAAATTGACGAGACATAAAAAACATAAAATTGTCGAGATCGCCCTAACTTAAAAATTATGCTGTGTTTTGTAAAATTTCAGAATTTTTTTTGTGTCAGTGATGTTTTTTTGTGATTTTTAAACCTCCTACTGCGCACATCTCTGAGATTTGCTCTCAAATTCTATTAAATTTATTTTCCAACTTGTTTTCTTTGTTTAGGTTTTTTGTTGTTGTATGTGAAAAAGAGAGATAATTGGTAGTTTTTTTACAGTGTTTTTTTCTTCTTGTATATATTAAGAGTTCAGAATTTTATGTACATACATAAATATATACATAACTACTTAGAAAGCCATATAAAATAGAAACATTGTCCACACATCATATGTACATACATAAACACATAAACATAAGAATATGTAAACATTGCTGAGTGTGTAATGAATACTTAATAAATAAATACATAAATCTGTGCTCATAAATGATAACCGCATAAGTTCTGTTAAAGAACGAATTGGGTTATTTGTGCCACCATATTCTTAACAAAATCTAGGTGGAAAATCCCATTTTTATATAAAATATATTATTTTAATATGCAACGATAAAACTTTGTTTTATTCCTATTGTTGTGTTTGTCTTAAATCAATGTCACCGGCTCAGCTGATTGCTATTTTAATATTTTGCTTTATTTTTGCTGGGAACCTATTATGTATATAGAAGGTGTATTCTACTCTCCACTAGTTTAAAAGTTATTGGCCTACAAAATTACATTTTTCATCATTTTTCTTCATATACAGCGGCAACCGCAAATATTTTGATATATAAAAATTTCTTTTGGAAATAATTTAATATAGGAGAAAGCTTGAAGATCGCCCAAATATGAATCGGAAAAGACATATCGCCCATTTACTACAAGACAGTTATAACTCCATTATTTCGTTTTAAGAAAAGTTTCTTTGAATGTTTTATGCTATTTTATTATTTCTTAAGTACCTACCTATAGGTATTAAATTATGTGATTTAAAAATTAAATTTTACTATGATGGAAGAGATTTAATGCAAATTTCGAGTTATGCCAGTCTTGTAATAAATGAACGACATGTAAACTGGCTTAAATCAAGGCCACCAATTTTGTTTTTAAAACACTAAAACACTCTACTACATGGAATAATGAAACAGTGGATAGAACTACAAATTGGCGAAACTTATAATGTAAAGACTGCAAACACTCTGTAAACATTGATTGGAATAGTTTAAGAAATTACGTCCAGAAGTTTTTGAATTATCGGATGATAATTGACTTTAAAAGATGATATCATCGGCAAAAGAAAAAAACACATCTAAAGGAGGTTTAATCAAAACCGGTTGTGGCCTAGGTGTATATATTCATGATAAAATATGATTAAAAACAGCTCACCAATACAAAATCGGTTAACAATTATAAAATTTTAATTTTTGTACGAGCTAACCAAAGAATATATTGTAATGATCTAATGAAATAAAGACCATGATTTAATCTCTGTAAATAGATCTTATAGAGCCTATAAGGAATGAAATCTACTTATTTAGATTTCCTAATCCTTCATTCTGTTTAGAAAGTTTTAAGAATTAATTTTCTAAATTAAATTATAAACAATGTTATTAAAGAATTTATAACACTTTAAAAGACAATTGAATGCAATAAAGGAGTTAACTCTTTCGAGGCTTGCATACTGTTTTGTACTTTTAAAAAATTATATTTTTTCTAAATGAAGACTTCAAGTTAGGTCGTTATTTCATGTAACTATAGAAAAAGTTTTTTTCTAATTGATTTAGTAGATTTCTTGTTAAGCCAGTGTTGCCAGTTAAACTGAAGGTTTTTTCAAGCAGAGTTGAGAACTTAACTTAATTGCAGAAATATTACAAGATTTATCAAAACAAAGTATATGTTGGATATCAATATAAAATGTAATTAGTAAACAAGTTCATTTATAAAAAACATAAGTGAATGGATATTGTATAAAAGAAACTCTCTGAGCAAATTCTACTAAAATCAAAAGTTACCACATAAAAGTCAATGAGTGTGGAAAAAGAAAAAAATAAACTAGTTAGTTTAGTTTTAATTTTATTCTATCTGACTAATGCAAAAAATTTACACTGAATGAACATTAATTATTACTTAGAAAGTGAAAACACTTTTTTAAACTGGCCATTGTTTATATGAAAAAAAAAATATTATTTCTTTTAGTTTTAATGTGTTGTTTCTAGATAACGTGTGAGTAGTTTTGAGTTAAAATTTTACTTGTATTTGTTTTTGTTACAATAACAAAATACAAGTAAAATTTGTGCTCCAAACTACTCGCTCGTTATCTAGAAACAACACATAAGAAATAAAATATGCACTATACTCATTTCATTTGTATTCTAAATTAGAAAAGGTTGGATATTATTGTTTATTGCAAACAAAATAGAACAATATAGTCGGTAAGACAGACTAGCCTCATAGACAATAGATCAATTAAGTATAATTTCATTTATATCGTATTTCTTCTTAATATAAACTTTTCAATTGTTCACAAATTACCTCATCGTACTTATCATTAGAAATTATTAATATCGATCCTTATCATTTTTTAACACTTAGTTGTGATAATTTAATTTCTTTAGATAACTTAAAAACCCATATCCCTCAAAAAATATACATTTTATCACATAATAGGAAACAATATTTTTTGTAAATACCATATGATTTAGAAATACATATGTACATATTTAGAAAAAACCTAGAGGTAAACATTTTCTCTAATATGAGGTCTTTATCGCAAGCGTTTTACCTGCAGTAAATGTCTTGTCTTGGTAATCAAAATAAGATTATTGAATACATGGGAATTATTTTCTATTAAATCGTCTGTGAGAATATACTATATAATTAACATTTTGAAGATTTTAGATGAGTTTTTAAACAAGTCGACTTTAAATGAATTTTTGTAAACTTTATCCTAATTAACTCATTTCTTTGTGGGTTAGATACTATGGAATGTAGGACGGTATTAGCCGGATATGAACAGACAAAATGCCAGATATTGAATTTCTACATATTGTCTACAAGAAAAAAAAACCTATCTATAAGTTGTGTTTATACAACATCTCACTTGGCCCTAGAATACAAAACATTCCACAGTAGCACTGTAGGGGCTACCAGGTCATCAATAGTTGCCTGGCAATGCTATTGCGGACTCTTGTAAAAATGGGCTTATCGATTCGAGATAAACTCATCGAAGTTGGGCAACACTGATAAATTGAAGATCATGAGACCGTTGTACGACTCACGAAGATCACAAACTCTACTTCAATTTTCTAGAGCAAATCTATGAAATTAACTACAGTGGTGACTGGCCACTGTAGAAATTATCTAGATGAAGAGGAAGAAGAGAGTATCACTCACTTTCTCTGTCAGTGCATTGCTATAGCTGAGCACAGATGAAATCTTCTAGGAGCAAATCTCCTACACGATCTAACGGATCTATCTGAGACTGATATCCGAAAGATAGACTCCTTTATTCGTGCGACAAACTCGTTTGGATAGGAACCCAGAATAATTAGGTCAAAGTGTACTAATACGCTGACCACTTTTCTCTTTCTAGGTATCACAAAGAGATCAACGTAATACACCCAAGTGATAACAGCACATGGACATTCTGATAACATAACCTAACATTTACTTTTATAGGTACTTGCTTGCATGACCGATTTCAAGGTTGACTTTTTACTACTTTTGCACTCTCTGCAGTAAAGACAGCAAAGCACTTTCGAGTCTGATTTGCCAGAAATTAGAATTGCAATTGTCTAAGGCGATCAGTGCTCAATCGAATCAGTGATATTTGTTTACTTTCTATGCCTGTATTTCGTTCGATACAGCTGTTAATATTAAACTACTATTACTATTTACAAACAAATATGACTCAGGTCGTTCCGGATTAATGATTACTTTCTTGTGGGTATATGGAGACACATTTATCCTGTGTCAACATATGCAAACATATATCTAAATCAAGTTAATTTCGAAAGCATGCCAAGCAATTATGGAAACCTAGATGCTTAAAATATATAACGTTTAATATGTTGTTGTTCAGGTTGTTGCCGATCTGATTCGGATTGTTCTAAATAATAATGCCATCTTTTTTGAATATTAATATCTATTTTAAAGTAGTATCAAGCATTTTTCCAGACCTGTACATTTTTTTGAACTTTAATTTTATACAAAAAGGCATTTGAAATAATTAGGGTCACACAGTAGCCACTATATAAAAATAATTCCATAGAATGTCTAGAGATTTTAAACAATTATCATTCCATATAATGTATTAGATTGGGATTAATTTATATAATTACAATTTATAATTTAACCACAAAGTTTAAAAATCACAGCATTAAGAAATGAAAACTATTCAACATACATTTTTTGGGGTTCACTACACTTCACAGCATCCTGTAAAGGGTCAGTGAACATTCTCTATTTTGCAAAGGAATTCTAACTAAAGCGCATGTGTATTTTTATGTTATTTATTTTCAATTTTTTTATAATTCAACATTTTAGTACTTTTCCTTTGGTCAGATATGAGTTTACACGTTTAATATGCGTTAATTGTTAAAATAAAAAGTTGTTTAAAATTGTTTTAATTATTAAAGAATTATATTTAATTCATAGTAAACAACTTGAAAAATATACATTTGTTATGGTGCAAATATTGAAAAATTAAATAATTCGCAGTTGGAAATTGTTGTTTAAAATTGTGTGTATAATATAAACAAAGTGAAAAAATTAAATACAACTTTTTTATATTTTGTTGCTGTTTATAACAATAATACGGTATTCCACTTAAAT